ACACTTGTGTTTTCTTCATTGAAAAATATTTGTTCTGTCTTCTGATTAATTGAATAAATATATCTATCCAAGTGCTATTCCATTAACAAACATATCCAGTCTTTAATTCTGGCTAAGTTTGGGGGTTTCTAACCCATCAAGGAACCTACTGTTTAAAAAAGGGAACTAAGAGATGTTCTTAAATACTTTTGGCCATGTAGGAGCCAAGATTAGAGAATTTAAGCATGGTGACTACTGCACAGCATTGGAGCGGCCAGGGATCAGCACATTGGTGGCAGGTGGTGTGAAGTGGTGTGTGAGGCTTACCTTGCCCTTTAGACCTGGCTAAGCTCGATCCTGGATGCACATCTTACATTTCCTGAGAGATTGCTGCTGACTCCACCCGCTTCTCCCCCAAGAGCTGCTGGTTTGGACAGTACTTGGCTCGCGTTGGCAGTTTGGGCCACATAAGCACTTGGTGTCTGTCTTAGTCCATTTGGGCCAATATAATAAAAACACCCTAGACTGGGGGTTTTGAGGGGTGGTGCTTAAAAAACAGATGTATCCCATCATTCTGGAGGCCTAGAAGTGCAGGATCAAGACATCTGCAAGATTCAGTATCTGGTGAGAACCCAGTTCCTGTTCATAGATGGTGTCTTCTCACTGTGTCCTCGCAGGTGGAAGGAACCACGGAGCTCTGCGGGGTGTCTCCCATAAGGACACTAATCCCATTTATGAGGGCTCCACCCTCATGACCTCATCACCTCCCAAAGATCCCTCCTCCTAACATCACCCCATTGGAGGTTAGAATTTCAACATATGAATCTTCAGATTTTGCTGTGATAGAGAGCGGAAGAATTAACTTCAGTGCTGGGCCAAAACCCTTGTATCAGTCTGCTCAAGCTGTCATAACAAAGTGTCACAGAGGGGGTGGCGTAAACACAGAAATTAATTTCCTCACAGTTTTGGAGGTTATAAGTCTGAGATCAAGGTGTCAGCAGCATTCGCTTCCACTGAGGCCTCTCTCCTTGGAGTGTAGATAGCCATCTCTATCTCCTCACATGGTCGTCCCTCTGTGTGTTTGTCCTAATCTCTTCTTTGTCAGATTGGACGAGAGCCCACCCATCTGACCCCATTTTTCCTCTTTAAAGGCCCTATTTCCAAATATCTGCCTATCCTGTGTCCAAATCACCTAACTTGAGGAACAATCTGCAGATCTAGCTATTAAGGGGATAGGAGCAAATGTTCCCCCACATTATGGGAGAGCGCCTTATACCTGGCAGCCTAGTTTTGAACATTTCTTTAGGAACAGAGTCTCCTTTTACTTTCTTACATGCAAATGTTGACCATGAGATTGGTTTGGGTTTGTGAACTTGTTGACATACGGTAGGACTGAATAGGAAAAATCATGCCTAAAACAGAGGCGGCTGGCTGCAGGTGCCAGGGAATGAGCTGGCTCTCCAGCTCTCTCACTCTTCTCTTCTCCCTTCCCCATCCTGCCACCAAAGTGATATAAAAAGTGTCATGTCTGTGCCTGACTCAGAAGGCTCGGTGGCTCCCCATCAACTGTAGAAGAGGATTCAAGACTCTGAACGTGACCCACAAGGAACTCTTATTTGATCCCTGTCCTTTGTGGATATCTCCCAACCCTTCCCTTCTCACTTTTTAAAACTCCAGTAATGCCACACTGTGTGATTCTATTCCTCTGAGTATAGAGTTCCTTTCACCTGGAAAGACTATTCCTCACCTCATTGCCTGGTTAGGCCAGCTCAGGTAGTTTCCCCTCAGATCATTCTTTTCTGCAGTCCCTGTACTTGGTACATTCATGTCGTTGGATATGTCCCCCCAAAAGTGTGGTATTTAATTTTATGTGTCATCTGGGCCACAGGGTGCCCATATATCTGGTTAATGTTATTTTCGTTGTTTCTGTGAGGGTGTTTGGGGGTGAGATTAACATTTAAATTGGTGGACTGTGAGGAAAGCAGATTGCCCTCCCTAATGTGGTGGGCCTCATCCAATCAGTTGAAGGCCTGAATAGAACAAAAAGGACAGCCTCCTCTGAGCAAGATCACCTTTGGACTTCATCTGCAGCAGACTGCCTTTAAACTGAACTGGAACATCAGCTCTAATACAAAATGCCTGCCTATCTGTGTTCCCAGCATGAGTATGAACTCCTTGTGGATAGGAACTCTATTTTATTGGCCTCTGAATCCTTAGGATCCAGAGAGTATTTGTTGACTAGAGTATTTTAAACCCATGAATATTTCATCTTTCTGGAATGTGAAATAGAAACCCATCTGCACAGGATACAATCTCAGTAGGGATTTTATAGGAACTATTGTATTAAAATTTTTTAGAAAATATTTTCTTTTTCAATTACAGTTGACATTCAATATATTAGTTTCAGGTGTATAGCATAGTGATTAGACATTTATGTACCTTACTAAGTGACTCCCCCGATAAGTCTAGTCTCCACCTGGTACCATCCATAGTTATTACAATATTATTGACTATATTTTCTGTGCTGTACTTCACATCCCCATTACTGTTTTGTAACTGCCAGTTTGTACTTCTTAATCCCTTCACCCTTTTCACTCCATCCCCTTCTCATCAGGCGACTATCAATTTGTCATCTGCATCTATGAGTTTGTTTCTGTTTTGTTTGTTCATTTATTTTGATTTTTAGATTCCATATATAGTGAAATCATGATATTTGTCTTTCTCTTTCTGACTTATTTCACTCAGTGCAATACCCTCTTGGTCCATCCATGTTGTTGGAAATGGTAAGATTTCATTCTTGTTTTATGGCCAAGTAATAAAGAATTATTGTTTTATCGAAATATATTTTCTGGTTCTTAGAGGTGGAGAAACACCTTAGCACAGATCCTAGTTTTATTTAATAGTAATATGCTTAGTTTGGAATTGATTTGCACATCCTGTCTCTTAAAATGTGAAGCAATTAGCATGACCTACTTCTCCCTCTCTTAGACAACTGCTGTGATTTTTAAAGTGCCTAACGTTTCTAAAAAGTCAGTTGTCCTTTCTTATCTCTCCTGTCTGGGTAGTGAGCAGGCCATTGCCCCTCCAGAGCCCAAGTGTATTGTTAGGTCTTGTCTGAGGCAAGGCCAATAGCATCTCTTTCAGCCTTTTCTGCCACCTGACCCTTATTGCCTGGGTCTGGATAGTTGTCTCCATCAGCAAATATCATCAGCTTTCATCTTATTCAAAACATCAATGAATCAGGCCCAGGTATTTCAAGGACACCTGTAAAAAAAAAAAAAAAAGCCCTATTTGATCTGGTGGCTCTTTAAGAGGGATGAAATTTTCCTGAAACGGAAACTGCCATCCTTCGTGTAAAACTGAGATGATGCTAGGGGCAGACCGGTTATATCCCCTAAATATGCCATTTTCATTTGGCTAGCAAAGCCTTTTGAGTTCCTTGCTTTCTAATTTTTCAGTCTAAATTGACCTGGCACGGAATGGGGATGTCAATCACCAGGCTTCCAAGGGGAAAATCTCAGGTTTCAGGAGGTAGAGCTGTTGTACTTGGTGCCTCCGTCCACAAGGTGGCGCTGCAGAACTACGAAACAGCCTCTGAGCACACCCGCAACCGTTACATTTTCACTAATGCGTCCATTCCCCGTCCCCTCCCCCTCTTTCTTCCTGGGATTTTATATTATTTTCGTTAGATCCCTTGAGAGGGGTCAAGAATTGCCTCTGCATTTGGCAATGTCGAAATGGAACAAGCTTTTCTGATCTGTGGTGTGTATTTACAGGCCAGACAAAGAATACATCCAATGCCAGGAATTGTTATAAAGAGAAGTAAAACAAGCAGAACTATCCCCATGGAGCACACCTTTTTAGCAAGAGAATTCGGCAATACACAGACAAACAAGTAAATATAGAATCTCATATCAGATGGAAGTACAATGGCAATTACAAAGCACGTTAATGAGACATTATGGTACTTCATGCTATCTTCTAATACATCGAATCGAGCTCACCTTGACTTTCAATCTCCATTTCAAACATTGCTTAAACCCTATCAGTTCAATTCGGACACTTTCTTTTCTTCCTATAAAAACAGACCCAAGGAGTTTAACACATGCATGGTGGGGGATTAGCTGTCCTCTGGCTGGGAGTTTGAAAAGTGCAGGGAGTTGGAGGTTGGAAGAAGAGTCTGGATGTTGGAGGCAATAATGAAGCTTCCCACCACCCAGCACTGACTCCAGCCATGGGGCCCCAATAGGAAAAAATAAGACACTGTTTCCTAACACTAATAACAATAATATTCCCTTTACGCAGGAGAGAAATTTCCTAATTTGCTGTAGTCTTAGAACTGATGAAACAGTTGGGGTTCGGTTCCCAGACGCAGTTTTTAGTGTCAGAAAACTTAGCCCAGAAAGACAGGCTCGTAGAGCCTCGGCCGCGTGACGCTGTGGTCACTCGGACACAGGTCTCAAGCAGTACTCCAGACACCGAACAACCAAGCGCTCGGCTACGAGGCTTTTGGATACGGTAACTAGGGACGCTTCTGGTCTCCAAGGGGCGAGGGGGGTGGAAAGCGAAGATTGCATTTTATGCGCCTGCGCACACTCGCGCCCAGCCCGCTACAACCCGGGACCCTTGGGCCACCTCCCTCGAACACTGTGACGTACGTGGGCACGCACGCACGCTCCGCAGCTCGGCTTCCTCTTTCCGTTCTCAATTTAGAACGCGCCCCTCTCTAAAGCCCTGCCCAGTCCCGCCCCCTGAGCCGGATTCCGCCCTTTTACTCCGTTTACCACAGGAGATTCGTACCTGCGCACTCGGAATCCTGGCGTCAGCTCCCGGAGCCCTTATGGTGAGAGCACCTGCCTTTCAGGCGGAGCCGGTGGTCCTTTGGGTGGTCATGAGTCTGAGCCTAAAGGTCGGGCCGGGTCGGGGAGGCGGGCAGCGCCGTCCTCCCCGGGCGGACTACATTTCCCAGAGGCCCGCGCGGCGCTTTTTCCTGGGTCGGCAAGCCGGGTTGGTTGAGGCCGCAGTTTCCGCGGGATCAGGGCTGTGGAGCGGCTGGAGCGGGCAGTGTAGAAGAGACCGCAGGGTGTTTGGGAGATGATGTGCCTGTGTGTGTGAAAGATCACCAAGAGTGAGAGGCCCCGGGGAGACGGACTGGGAGAGACTGGGGTTTGTATGAGACAGCGAGAAACCTGAGAGTGTTGGGGCGAATGTGATGAGACCAGAGAAAGTGAGTGACGCGTGTATGTGTATGCCCGGTATGTGCGGTTTTGTGCGACTGCGTGTGCCTGAGAGTGAAGGAGGCCAGTATGTATTATGTAAGAACCAATGTGTGTGAGACCATCATGTTCGTGTGTGTGTGAGGGGAAGGGGGGCAGACTACCGACAGGGCTGTATGTGGGTGAGAGACACTGAAGGTTTGCCGGTGCATCTTCTGTGAGGTTGTGGGCCTGCACGTGTGAGCGAGGCCGGCATACGGGGCAGTGGGCCACGGGTGTGTGATATTTGTGTATTGCCTCTGCGTTTGTACCCATGGCCTCTCTGAGACCGTGGTGTAAGCGACTGCATGTGATGTCCCTGTCTTTGGGTGCTCGTGATCGTGCCCTCGATGTGATCGGGAATATGTGGGTCCTATGGTAGTGTTTCTGTGTCACCTTGTATGCCGGCAACTGGCCCTGTGCGGCTGTGGTATGAATGGGGAGACCACTTGGACGATGATAGCATTGGCACTTTCTGTGTCCTGTGTTTCGAACAGTGTGTTGCTGAGATAACAATCCTGGAGAATCCCTGCCTCCAGTCCAAGAGTCTCTGTAAGCAGCAGGAAGTGGGGTAACTAGAGCTCCTGACTGTAGCAGACCCTCAACTCTGGGAGACAGAAAGGAGGGGAAACCAAAGGGCAGAGGATGGGTGAGAGTGAAGGTGGCAGAATTGGGTGCTCAAGGATCCATTGTCCCAGAGGGAGAGGAAGGTGAAGGCCCTGGGGATTAGGGTAGAGAATAACTGTGGCCTCTGGTGGAATTTCGGATTGGATTTTCGAACTACAGACTGTGTCCAAGTAAGAGGCAGAGATGCAGGAAGGGAAGAGTCCACCTCTCCCTAGAACGCAGAGGAAATAACTATTTCATAGGATTATTTCAAAAATAGAGTGACAGACTATTCCAGGCAGAGTATTACTTCAAAAATAAAGTGAGAGACTATAATTCAGGCACATTATTTTTATTCTCAATAAGACCAAAGAATGGGAAGGCAGCTTTTAGGAAAAAAAAACATTAAATTTTGGATCTTGAACATAAGAGAAACAGAGTTGTTAGACCTGCTCAACAGCCATAGGTTGCCCATAATGTCCCAGTTATGTTGGCAGTGGGACCAAAGAAAGGTGGGAGGAAGGAGGAGAAGACAGGTTTTAGGCTGGCGATTCTGGGAGTGCAGAGAAGGCCTCATGGCTCACTATCCTTTTCCTTCCTCCAGCTCTACCCTCCTGAGACCCTGCTCTCCAAGAGAGAAGCCAGGAAAAGAAGACGAAAATGACTGTTGAACTGGTGAAAACCGTACCCCAGGTTAGTTGTTATTTCCTTTCCCAAGAAAGGCAGTCTTACTTTTTAGGGCTTAGTAATGCTGCTTTTCTCTGAAAATTTCCTGATAAACAGTCTTGTCTGAGGGCCTGGTGACCAGTTCTCCCAGAGGGCGCTGTCCTTAAACTGCCTAAGGGATAAGTAAAACTGAGTATGATGAAGTGCAGAGCTCCTACTTCTCACCCCATGTATATTTTAATTCAGTGTTGATAATTGTGAAAACATTTGGTTTCTGTTATATGGAATGGAGTATCTCAGTGAGTCGGGTTCCATGTTAAATGTGCATCCGATAGCCCTCTGTAAGGTTACTCTTCCCCCCCCGCCCCACACACACTTTTCCATACTGTGCTCTTTGAAAGAAAGTCACTATGCACAAACCACACCTAAGGAGTGGGAGGTTATGTTCTACTCAAGGGTGGAATATCTAAGTAAATCATTTGAAATTCTGTATGAGAAATTAATCTATTTTCCCCCATTTATTTATTCAGTTATTGTATCACTATGGACTCATACACATTTACTTCATACCTTAGATTATAATACAATGCTACTTTATTTATTCTGTTGCTCAAATTGTTCCAGCTTTGGCCATTGGGAGCCCTTTCAGCAGCTCCTGTATCCCACTGTCATACCCAGTTATTGTGGGGTGCCTCTGTTTGTTGAGCACTGACAGAAATTTCTGACACTGCATATCCAGGCTCATCTGGTATATTTTCTGCACTAGTTTTAGAGGCTTGGTCTCAGTCCTTGTGAAGGCTGGCTTATTTCCAGTACACCATTAATCCTGGAGTATAGTCCTTCCTTTGAGTTCTCAACTAAAAGCGGGATGTTTACAAGGATGTTTACAGGTTATAATAATCTGTAAACACTCCAGATTAGCATGTATTGCTGCTCTTTCTGCTGATATGTCATTCCTCAAAAGTCCTCGACAAGTCAGCTGTGAGAGTTTCATCAGTCTACTCTGCTTATGAACCTTGAGTATTTTCTAATGTGGGAGGTCTTGGAAATAAGTAATCCATGGTATAAAGCATGTTTGGGGACATCTTTGCCTTGTATTTGGGCACTAGTGGTATTTTATAATGTGGGAGGGCTGATACCTAATACCCTTATTACTTATCATTCCAGAATTTTCCTCATCTTTTAAGTTTATTTTTCCAGCAAACTTTAGAATCAGGCAGTTTTTAAAAACTCCACTGATTACTTTAAACTGGGATTTATGTATTCAACAAATACTTTTGAGGGCCTTGTACATGCCAGGCGTTCTTTTAATTCTGAAGCTGCAGCAAAGGACAAAGCAAAGGCCCTGCCCTTGTGGAGCTTACCCTCTAGAGGGGGCAAGTAGACATATAGAAATGAATTGGTATACATCAAATAATGAAAAATGAAGTGGAAAAAGATAAAACAAGGTCAGTGGGAGAGGGAGTGCTGGGTAAGGGATGGTCCGCATTTTCTTGTTCAGGGGTGATCATGGAAGACCTACCTGATATTTGAGTAGAGACCTAAAGACAATAATATAGCAAATACATGGGTATTGGGAGGAAGCTGGTTACAGAAGCAACAGCTGGATGTACAGAATCAGGGTCCTGAATGTCTCTTTGTTCAGAAAGAGCAAGAAGGACAGAGCCAGTAGGAGAGATAATAGATGTTTACAGAGAAGTCATGAGCACTGGACCTTTTGAATCTCAAGGCCATTGTAAGGACCTAGGCTTTTGCTCTGTGTGAGATGGGAAGACTTAGGGGGTTTTAAGCAGAAGTGACACATGAGGATTCTTCTGGCTGCTGTGTTGAAAACAGATGGTTAGAGAAGCAAGGACAAAGCAGGAAGACATGTTATAATAGGATAAGAGGTAATGATAATTTGGGTCAGGATGGAGAGTCTAAAATTTGTAGATTAATTTAAGGAGAAATGAAAGCTTGAATCTTCTTATTTAGGATAAAAAATGAGTATGTATTTACATTTATTCAGGCCTGTGTGTTGCGCAGTAGTATGCTTTTCATGTGTCCTTGTCATGTTTTACTCTTTTAGAAAATTCTGTAGTTCTCTTATCATAGATTTGGTATTTTTTCTGTTAAATATACCTTTAAGTGTTTTAAAGAGATGTATCAGATTCTGAATGTAATATTTTTCCCATTTTTATCTCTAGTGCGTGTTAGAAAAGGAAAAAAATTAATATGTATCTTACGCTAGGGTATCTTTCTAAAAACTTCCTTTTAAAATTTAGTTTTAAAATTTAAACATTTCTTTAGAAAATTTTTTTAAGTAAAGTTTTTGTTTGATTGGTTTATGTTTTGTTTTTAAACTAGTTTCCTTGAGTAAGGGTACTTGATGGACAATGTTGGGGTATAACATTGACTCGATGTGAATCCTCACTCTGGAATTGTGTGACTCGAAGGCCCTATTTTAGCTCTATGTTCATATCACCGCAGGAAAGAGATAGTTAACTAACATTTTCCCAATATTTAATGGATTATGTATTATTATTTTTGTTTTGTGGACATCTCTAGAGTATAGATATTCTAAAACAATATTGAATACTTATGGCAATAATGCCTTCTATTTGTCAATTTCTAGATAATTTATAATAGTAGATTTCTTTTTTTTAAAACAACTTTGTTGAAGTATCATTTACATAACATGAAATTTAACGATTGAAGTATATAATTCCAAGATTTCTAGGAAATTTACTGAGTTGTGTAACCATGATTATAATCCAATTTTAGATCATTTTCATCACCTCAGTAAGATCCCTTATGCCCATTTACAGTTACTTCCTTTTCTCATCTCCACCCCCAGGGAATCACTGATTACTTTCTGTCTTAGATTTGACTTTGCTGGACATTTCATATAAATGGAATCATACAATATGACATCTTTTGTGTCTGGCTTTTTTCACTTAGTTTTACATTTTTGAGTTTTTTCCATGTTGTACCATGTATCGATATTTCATTCCCTTTTGTTGCTAATTGTATTTCATTGAAAGGCGTACCAAATTTTGTTTATCCATTCATCAGTTGATAGACCTTTGGGTTGATTCCACTTTTTAGCAATCATGAATAATGCTGTTGTCAACATTGAATGTAAATCTTTGGATACGTTTTCATTTCTCTTAGATTAACCTAGGAGTAGAATCACTGGGTCATGGGCTAAATTCATATTTAACTTTTTAAGAAACTGCCAAACTGTTTTTCAAAGTGGCTGTGCCATTTTACATTCTCAGCAGCAGTGTATGAAGATTGGGTGTGCTTTAGTCCGATGCTGGGTGACTCCTCATATTGCTTCCCAGCTTACTCTGGTATAGAATGGCATGGCATGCTAGTTCTTGATGGCATAGCATAAGAAATTGCATTCTGAATATATTCATTATTTTTAGTGTGTAAGAAGAAAAGTCACCTACATCTATCTGTTCAGTACTCTTCCTACATAAATAATATTTGCAAAATAGTATTTGCAAATAGAGTACTATTTGGAAAATACAAGTTAGATATTTTTTGTTGTTGTTTTTGAAGGTTTGACCGTAGGTGTAGGTCTTGCCTTGAAGCTCTGGTTTCCTGCCCTGTGGCCACCTGTCCATATTTCCTCATGATGAGAAATAGATTAGTATAATTGTATACAATGCAATTGAACGCTTCAATAAGTACTGTATTAGGTTGGAACTTGTGTTTAAGTTTTTTCTTCTCCAAGCATAAAGACATTTTAACACTTCAGCCTGAAGTCATGTGTGGACAGGAGCATTGGTTAATCAAGAATGTATTTGTATCCTTTCAGGACTTGGTGACATTTAAGGATGTAGCAGTAGACTTTTCCCAGGAGGAATGGGACTGGCTGAACTCTGCTCAGAGAAGTTTATACAGGAGTATGATGTTGGAGAACTATCAGAGCCTGGTATCACTTGGTGAGGATCTTTTCCCCTCTGCACAATTCAGAAACTACCTTTAGGGACTTTTTATTGTGAAAACTTTTTATCAAGAAACAAAGAGGATATTCATGGATTGATGGAAATTTTAGATTTAGTGAATTTGATATGTATCAAGTGTTCCATGGGTATACTTTTTAGGCAGTTGGAAATACAGGCCATGATGTCACTCTTACTGTTCTCCTGTGCTCCTTTGTGCCTTATGGTATTGTTACCATCTGGAGGCAATAACAAGGTTCACCAAGAATATAGCTGGATTGCTACAAATTCAAAATATCACTTTTAAAATCTGTATTTTTTTTATTAACATGCAATAAATGAACCGCTGAAACACAAACTATGAAAATGGCTTCAGACATTATTAGAGAAACTAACATGGACCCTTCTCAGTCATAGGACTATCCATTGGGTAGACTAGCTTTCTGTTCTTCAGAGGGTCCTTTTATCCTGCTTGTGGTTCACTGAGCTTCTAAAACTAAATTTATATCTTTCATTAAATTTGAGAAATTTTTGGCCATTATTTTTTCAAGTATTCTTTGTGTTCTCTCTTTTCTCCTTCTGGGACTTAAGTTGCAAATATGTTAGGATGTTTGATACTGTGCTCTAGGTAACTAAGGATCTGTTTACTTTTTAGAATATTTTTTCTCTGTTTCGCAGATTAGATAATTTCTATTGATTTTTCTTAAAGTTCACTATTTCCTTGTCCTCTTCAATGTCTTGTTAAGCCCCTCCAGTAAATTAAATAATTTCAGATACTGTAGTTTTCAATTCTAGACATTCCACTTGGTTCTTTTTGTAATTTCTAGTTCTCTGTTGAGGAATTACAAGTGTATATATTTTTATATTATTCAAGATAGATACAAAAGACGTTTTAAAATCCTGGTTTACTAATTCCAACATCTGCATTATTACAGGTTGGATCTCCACTGATTGCTTTTTCTTCTGAGTATGATTCACTTTTCTCTTTCCTCTTGTGTATAGTAATTTGAATTCATTCTGGACACTATTTAAATAACACATTATAGGGACTCCAGATTCTGTTATATTCATTTGAAGAATGTTGAATTTTTTTTTTTCAAGCAGTTAATTAACTTGATTCAGATGCCAAACTCTTCCTGTAGGTGATCTTTATTGTACTTATTTACTCCTGTCAGATGATCCTCTTAAAATGCTGGGCAGAATTTCTGCCCCTGGCTCCTTAGAAAATTGTCTAACTTTTAGAGTTGTCTGATGGCAGTCCCGCTAGACTATGCCAGAAGCTTTGTGTAGTGTGTCCTTAAAATGTGCTGTACCCCTTGATCTAATCATATTATGTGATTCCGTCAAAATTAAGAACTGGCTTATAGTCTGAAATACCCAAAACATGGGCAATTTTCATGTCTTTTTTTTTGCATGCAGGACTTTGCATCTCTAAGCCATATGTGATCACCTTACTGGAGCAAGGGAAGGAGCCTTGGAGGATGAAGAGTGATATGACAAGCCCATTCTCAGGTGTGTGGGAGACCCACATAGGAGAATCCTTTCTAGATAATGGCCTAGCCATTTTCAAAGGTGACCCTCCTCATTTACGTCTTTTAGAAGTCTTCTCAAGCCTTCCAGATATGGGGGGAAAGCTGAAATGTTACTACATGGGTTTTCCAAATACCTTCTCTTCTACTTGACTCTCTTCTAATAAGTCATTTTACAAAAATCTTTATCCAGCTCCTTCCTATCCCCTCTTTTTTTTTGCCATACAGTCTTATATAAGCTTTTTGGCTTCTTAAATCTTTTTAAATCCACAATTAGATGCTGTTTGCAATTATAAAATTCTGCTGCTTTAAATCTTTCTTTGGTTTCCTGTTACAAATAAGAAAAATCTAAACTCTGCTAGCCCCTATGTGATCAGCAACTTTCTACTTCTCTCATTTTATCCTAATTCACTTTTTAGCTTTTTCACTATACTTTAGTCCAGAGTTTTCAAAACTATGTGAGGTACTCAGGTATGCTTCAAGTATGTCACAGGTGTCTTAAGGTAAGATATGAGTCTCTTAGCCTTGGAGACCAAATGGGTACTGTGTTCATGGCATGTTTATTCCTTCTTCAAGACTATAATCTGGCTAAAGATACTTATGTGATTGTAAATAAAAATGAGGTTAATAATAGTGATGCTAACATACATATTTTTATAAAACTAATTTCAGAAGTACACATGGCAAATTCCCATTAAGATGTGGCCTGAGAAGTGACACTTTTCCTGGGCTAGTGCAAGTAAGAAGATGAATGAAAAAATTCCTTATATGTAGCCTCAAGTTCAGGGATCTATACAAAATGACGAGTTCACTGTATTGAAGCAATGGAGATGGGTTACAAGGATATTATTTTCTGAATATGAAAAGAGAACTCTAGGATTTCACTTAAACCCTGGGGGAAGTTACAAAGCATAAGGAATTTTGGTTGCTGGGACTCTGTAGAGATTGTTGAGCAGCAGTAGGGATGATACAGCTGTAAGGATATTGTTATTTAAACAAAGTTAACCTAGCTGTTATGCAAATTAATTAGAAGTAGGAGAGAATAGAAAGAGGGAGTTTAATTTATAGTCTGTTAGTTAATACAGGCATAAAATATTTCCTTACAGACTACTTTTCTAGGACCTCATTATCCTACATTTAGTTTTCTTAATCACCTATTCCATGTTCCTCTATGAGCTCTCTCATTCTTTGGTGTCTTGTTGCAAGTTTTCAGCTGACATGCCTGTATATAAAAGATTTTTTTTTTATGGGGATTCATTATTTTTGAATCCCTTTTTCCATCTTATATGTTTTCTTTGTTATAGCCCATGAAAGGGAAAAAAAAATTTGTTTTTTGGTATCTTTCAGATTGGGAATCTAGCTGTGAGACACAAGAATTATCTCTGAAGCCATTCGTATATGATGATGTGTTAATGGAGAGAATTACAAGCTATGGATTTGAGCATTCCACTTTTAGGGAAAACTGGAAAGGTGAAGATATTTTTGAGAGGCAGCTGGTAAGCCAAGAGACATTTATCAGGCAAGAAACACTCACTCATAAAGAAACCCTTATTAAAGTAATAGACCACAAATATAATAAATCTGGGAAATTTGTCCATCTAGACAATGCAGGAGAGAATGTTTATAATCACAAGTCTGATAAAAAAAGCTTTTCTAAAAATTCCATGGTAAGAAAACACAAAAGAGTCTGTGGAGGAAAGCAACTTTTTAAATGTAATGAATGTGAGAAAACCTTCACTCAGAGGTCATCTCTTACTGTTCATCAGAGAATTCATACTGGTGAGAAGCCATATGAGTGTAAGGAATGTGGGAAAGCTTTCAACCAGAGTCAACACCTAGCTCAACATCACCGAATTCACACCGGAGAGAAACTCTTTGAATGTAAAGAATGTAGGAAAGCCTTCAGCCAGAATGTACACCTTATTCAACATCAAAGAATTCACACTGGAGAAAAACCATATAAATGTAAGGAATGTAGAAAAGCCTTCAGCCAGCCTGCACACCTTGCTCAACATCAGAGAATTCATACTGGGGAGAAGCCCTATGAATGTAGGGAATGTGGAAAGGCCTTCAGTGATGGCTCATCCTTTGCTCGACATCAGAGATGTCATACTGGCAAGAGACCCTATGAATGTATTGAATGTGGGAAAGCCTTTAGGCAGAACACATCTCTTATTCGTCACTGGAGATATTATCACACTGGAGAGAAACCGTTTGATTGTGCTGACTGTGGGAAAGCCTTCAGTGATCACATAGGCCTTATTCAACATAGGAGAATCCATACTGGAGAGAAACCCTACAAATGTGACGTGTGTGGAAAAACATTCAGCTACGGCTCATCCCTTATTGTACATCAGAGAATTCACACAGGAGAGAAACCTTATGAATGTCATGTCTGTGGGAAAGCTTTTAGTCATCATGCTTCACTCATCCAACATCAGAGAGTGCATTCTGGAGAGAAGCCTTATGAATGTAAGGAGTGTGGGAAAGGCTTTAGGCAGAGTATACACCTTGCTAGTCATCTGAGAATTCATACTGGTGAGAAACCATATGAATGTAAGGAATGTGGGAAAGCTTTTAGCATCGGTTCTCAGCTGGCCACTCATCAGAGAATTCATACTGGAGAGAAACCTTACGAATGCAAGGAATGTGGTAAAGCTTTCAACCAGAGGGCTCACCTTGCTCAACATCATAAAATCCATACAGGAGAGAAACCTTATGAGTGTAAGGAATGTGGGAAAGCCTTCAGCCAGACTACCCGCCTCATTCAACATCAGAGAGTTCATACTGGAGAGAAACCCTATAAATGTACTGAATGTGGAAAGGCTTTTAGTGATAGTTCATCCCGTGCCCAGCATTGGAGACTTCATACTGGCCAAAGGCCCTATGAATGTGTCGAATGTGAGAAGGCATTTAGGACAAAATCATCCCTCGTTTGTCATCAAAGATGCCATACTGGGGAGAAACCTTATGAGTGTAGTGAATGTGGTAAAGCCTTTAGCCATCGTCAATCCCTTACTGTTCACCAGAGAATTCATTCCGGGGAAAAACCATACGAGTGTAAGGAATGTAGAAAAACCTTTAGCCAGATTGGACACCTTAATTTACATAAAAGAACTCATTCTGGAGAGAGGTCTTATAAATGTAAGGAATGTGGAAGTGTCTTCAGACAAAACGCACACCTTGCTCATCACCAGAAAATTCATGCTACAGAGTCAACTCAGGCATCCAGCTCTTCCTCACCCCCTATGTTACCAAGGTCTGCAGATATAGCTACTAAATATTTTTGGACTTCATCCCCTTCTTTTAGTTCTCATTGCCCTAGTCAAAAACACAGTCCATTTACCTGGACTATTCCAATTGTGTAAAATTTGGTTCCCTTGCATCCTCTTTAGTTCCCTTCAAGTTCATTCATACTGTTGCCACAGTGGTCTTTTAAAGATATAAATGTAATTATATTACTCTTCTCTTAAAACTCTATTATGACACTTCAAACTAGTTGATGTATATTAAGTATTTAGCATACTGCCTGACTCTTAGTACTTGTTTAATTTTAGGTCAATATTCTTCAGAGTCTGTTTAAGCATTATTTTTAAATAATAAACTCTGAAAAGCAGTATATGAGTGCTCATAACAATTTTGGAGCTGAAGTTATATCTTATGGTGGATGATGAGGATTAACATTAGTATGATTAAAGCTTAATGTTTAACAGACTAATATAGTGCCTTTTTCATGACTATGAAGCTGTGTTTCTTTGTTGCTGAGGAAATTCAGTATGGCTTGATGCACAGAGAATATGTTTTTGGTTGTGTTTTGGTTTTGGAAACTCTGGATAAGACTGGAAAAAATGAATTCAAACTTGCCGGGAAGAATGTAAGACACTATTTAGTCCAGGCAAAAAAATAAATATTACTAATACTTAAAAGTGAAGAAATAGAAAACTTGCATAGTCCAGCATTATTTAAAATCACCTGGTTTCATAAATTCTTAACTTTTAAGGAACCAGTAATTAAGCTGTCATGCAGTATAGAAAAAATATTTAAACTATTCCACTTTTTTCAACATTCATGTCAACTCCAGAAAAACATGAAATTATAGATGAATTTAGTTACAGACATATATAGAAAGGAAATTATTGCCCTCTATTGAAAGAGAACAGAGGCTCTGAATAAATGGAGATCATATACGTTTCTAGATGGACGTTTCATCATTGTAAAGGTGTTTGTACATTCACTTAATTCCAGTCACACTCTTTGTAGGGAATTTTTACATTGTTTTGTTCTGAAGTTTAGTAGAATGGTAAGTGGGCAAGCATCTAAAGGAAATTTTTGAAAAAGATCGTATACCTACAAATTTAGTATATTGCAAAAGTGGTATTTTTAATGTGTCCACTGGGAGGGATGGATTATTTAAATTGTGTTTGGCAATTAGTTCTCCAACTAGAAATAAAGCGAGATCTGCATTTCACCCCTTAGAATTTCATTCAATATAGATAGAAGATCTAATAGGAAACACAATATGAAAATTCTAGAGCAGAATGTTGAATATTTCTATCCTTTTGGGTTGAGGAAGACTGGAAAGCAGGACATAGAGTCCGGGAGCCTTGAAGAGAGAGAGTGACAGGTTGGACTATGTAAAAGGTTTAAACCTTGTCCCTGGTATAAGACACTGTATGCAGGGTTAACAGGCACACGCAGACTGAGAACTTTAAACGTCTTATGAAGGATAAAGCCCTTATAAGAAGTGCTGTTGGATAACATATGCAGCCTGGAAAAGCATACTAATAAGTGACTCCTCCATGAAGAACTTGAAACAATCAAAATGGAGGATGTTCTTAACTGTAATAATTATCAGGTAAATATAATTAAGCTTACTTCCAACACAAACAAACACAAATTTTATGTGAATGTAAAGATTTGCTAATACCCAATATTTTGCAGATCTGAAAATACATTTTCATATATTGAGAGAATAAATTGGTGGAAGGGCACTTTAGAGGGCAGTTGGTGTTGTTTGTTACCTGTCAACATTTCCAATGTAATTAATTACTTTTTGCCACAATTCTACATCTACGTACTTCTCGAATAGCACAAGTGCAGAAATATATGCATAAGCACATTTATTAAAGAATAGTAAAAATTTGAACAGCTATAATGTCCAATAGTAGTAAGTTGATTACTTAAATTATGGAAAATCAGTTCAGGAGATTCTTATGCAGTCACTGGAAAGAACAAGGTGGATTTCTGTACTCAGGGACAGTGTAGTTTATTAATTGAAAATAATTTTCATAACTATATAATGGGTTCACATAGTTTTAAATATATAACCTTTGTAAAGTAAAATTAGGAAAATGCAGACATATCAGATAATATTTGTTGTTTTTCTCTACACTGTAAATAGAAACCATGCACATACAAATATGCACAAACTCCTCTTAGCTGCTTTGAGGAGCTGCTCTGATGTCATTTCTTGAGGTTTGGTTTGTGTTGCCAATAGTATATAGTTCAATTTAATCCAATCAGATACAGCAAGTGCGGCCTTGGGACAATGGAGTTGAATATGAATCACCTTTGGCCCCAGCTTAAAGATGGTGTTTTAAGTTCCTGCTGCTGATTGCTGGAGCTGACCTGATTCATGTTCTTCCCAGGCTGTACCCCACCGGTGGTTTGTTTTCCTTTTAAAATTAGATTAAGTTCTTTTGCTGTCAACTAAAAAAACCTAACCAATACAGAAATTGTTGGCACTGAGTGGGTTTCAGGCAAAAAAGATCCTCAGAAAATGTGTTATTAAAGTCTGGTTTTTGGGCAAACTGGGGCAAAGAATTGTTAGGCTCTTAATCTTATTTTGTGCCACAAAAGCATTCATTGATAGCAACAATCAGCTGTGGTCTAGATCACTCTTGCCTTAGACCAATAGAAAGAGGGCAAGAAGTGCCAGTCCAAGAAGTATGTATGATGTCTGTTCATAATGGAATTGTATAATATAAAGCAAAAGAAAGAACTACTTACATCTTAAAATTTTTGCTTTAAGGCATGGACTAGAACATAAGCCATTTTTGTAACACAGTCGAAAGACTCTTCGTTGTAAGCTATATCAGCGGTCCCCATTCTTTTTGGCACCAGGGACTGGTGCTCCTATGAGAGTCTAATGCCTGATGATCTGAGGTGGAGCTGAGGCAGTGATGCTAGTGCTGGGGAGCGGCTGCAAATACAGATGAAGCTTTGCTCTCTTGCCTGCCGCTAACCTCTTGCTATGCAGCCTGGTTCCTAACAGGCCATGGACTGTTACCCGTCTGGCCCTGAGCTATATGGCTGTGGTTGCTAAATATCACAGTTTTGGTAGGTTTCTTAAGTAAAATATTAGGAACAGTTGGTGTTGTGGCTATTGGAATGGGGACTTCTGAGAGAATTTCGGAATTTTATGAATCTAAGCTCCCTAAAAAGAATTAAGAAACCATGCTAACTAATTCTCTTTTGTCTGAGATATCTGTGAATAAAGGTTATCCAATTTTCCATTTAGCCTACCAACATTATGGCTTCACTGATTTTTTAAAAAGTTATTTCACATACTGAGTATTTCAGTCTGATAAAGTCAAATTTATCACTACTGCAAGCAAGACTTAAATTCTTGGACTGAGGCTTCCCACCCTTTTTGACATTTATGGTAAATGATGAGTAAATATTCTTTACAGTAAAGGACAGAGTTTATGCTTTTCATTTCTATTCATAGAACTGGCAACCTCTCTACCCGGCACTGGAAAAAACAATTTTAACTGAAGCTGAATGAAAGTATTTGAAGTTTAGAACAATTTTATTTTAAATTTTAATTCAGGTAAGTAAGGGATGTTCTTGACCATTCCTAGTTTACTAAACTTCCTTAAATCACAGTTGTGTATTAGACTTTATCAGATGCTTTTTCCTCATGTATTGAGGTAGAGGATTTTTTTCACCTTTTCTTTATTAATGGTAGTGACTTTCATGAACAGATTTCCCACTCTGGCACTCCTGTGATATAGTCTTGTAAATAAATGTCAGCTAACTTCGGATGATGAATGTTATGCTGGGGATTTTATAAGGTCATGAGAAGTCTTATTTGTTACTAGGAGGCTGGGCAGCTCTGGGGAAATGACTAGTGAATGATACAAAGGATCCAGCCATGACGAAAACAGTTTGGGGCCAAGGAATGTTACTATTTTTGAAATTCAGATAATATAGATTGTTGCAAAGTAAATAAAATCATCCATTATCCTACCACTAATTAACATTTTGATCAATATATATGTATACATAGCTATTTTTATAAAAATGAGATCATTACTATTTTATAATTTGTTTTTAATTAATATGGGCAATTAATATTTAAATAAATAATTCCACATTATCAAAAACAGAAAACTGCTCAGAACCAGCTTCTGCAAGTACGTGAGCCTACCGCATTTGATGGGTATGGCAGATGGGGGAGGCTGGAGTATCCAAGGAGACGAGTCAAAAGTGCGCCTCGGACACGCGAAGGCACACTCGCTAACACACGCACCGCTCCCCCAGACCCCCGCTCCCCGCCATCACAGTCACAGGCTTGTCCCTGCTTCCCTGCGCTTCCCCATTCCATCCGCTGTGACTACGCGCGGGACATCTATCTGAGGCCCACGCTACCTCCCCCACTCAGCGTCCTCTCATCCTCTTAGGCCACGCCCCTCGCCGTAAGCCCCACCTCCTTGCAACCATACCTGCGCGCGCCAACACTGGCGCCGGCTCCTGCAATCCCTTGGATCGCCACTCTGTCGCTCAGGCGACCTGTACTTCCGGCCAGTCCCGACCGACCTGCCCGGGGAGTCGCCGACGGGCGCAGTGTGGGCCTGGGGTAGACCTACCTCTCGCAACCCGCGCTCCGCCGGACGCATTCGCGGGCCCGGCCGGGACTACGCTTCCCAGAGGGCACTGCGGCATCAGGCACGCCCACTTCCGGCGGCTGCGGGCTGCTTGGTTCCTGCGCGCCCTGCGTGGCTGTGAGCTCGGCGTCCGCTCTTGGCGTAGGGTAGGGGCGGGTTTACTGGCGGCCGGGCGTGCCGGGGCTGGGCGAGTGTGTGAGCCGGATTGCGGAGACATGCGGGGGGTAGCGAGTACGGCCGGGAGCTCTGGGGAGAGCAAGCTGGGGTTTCCGGCGCGTCGAGGCGCCCCCCGTACAAAGCCCGAAGCGGGCCTAAGCCGGACTGTGGCGACCCAGGCCGTTTCCGTCCGCCGCGGTCGGGGAAGGCCTCGCTCAGGGAACGGCCTCACCTCCAAGGGCCGGCGACGAGCGGTGACCACGGTGCCGCAGAACAGAGGTGAGGGTGACAGGTGGCCTTGTGGCGTGGCCAAGGACGAGTTCATCCTTCTCAGGATGAGGGGACTGGGAGACTTGGGACAGAGGGCTCTCGAGGCCCAGGTTGTCGTGAATGATGTCCCCAGGCCCCGAG